AGGGGATATTTACCTGTATTTGGTTTAGGGGATATTTACCTGTATTTGGTTAAAGGGATATTTACCTGTAATTGGTTAAGGGGATATTTACCTGTATTTGGTGATGCCTCCACTACAAAGCTTTCGTAGAACTTTCGGTCACGCCTCAAAGCTGTATGGTAGAAATGTAGGAAAATAATTATTATGCATCAAATTTAAGAAACAAATAATTTATATTTTATATAACACAAAAATAATTCAACAAAACAATAAGCAATGATGATTAATTTTATAAACCCATGATGAAATGTAGTAATTAATGTTTAGAAAGTCATACATTAACTGTACCTAGACAAGTGTTAACATTTGTAAGTAATTTTCATATTATTAAATGAATGTGTCCGTGTTATGGTCTTGTCGTAATTATTTTTATGTTTATATCTCACACATAAAAAAGCTCAATAAACTCCTGATGGGTGTAAAATATATTTTACTCATTGCATGATGTGATTGACAGATATCTTAAATATATATATGCTACATAAAGACCCCGCGCGCACTAACATCTGGGCCAACAAGAGTGATTAATAGAAACTGAAATATCTTGTTTCATAACTGTTGTAAAATAAATAAAGTGTTTACATAATATATACATAAGATGTAAAATATAAGATCTACAGGAAGTAGAAATCCCATTGAAGTACGACCGCTTTCCATGGTTGTAGTAACACAGTTCAGTAACACTTACATTCGGGTGTTGTTGTCACGACGTCATCTGAAAACTTGGCTAGTTCCTAGAAACACAGAATATATATATATTGTGAAGTTATTAACTTTCCCCTATTTCATCGCAGATAAAGTTCTGCATTCCATTGATATAGATATTTTAAGTTTAAAAATTAATATCGTTCGGTCCAAACCTTTAAAGCCTCTCACTATTGCAAGTATATCTGTAGTCTTTGGAAAGGTGGTCAGAAATATAGAATTTAAACGTTCAGTGAGAAACGGAAAATGAGTTTTAAATTCTCGAGGAAGAGGTGGTCATTGCAGACATGATGTTGGTTAATTTGTGAATCTTTACTTTTATGGGATCCAAGGACAAAGGAACCTTAAAATAATGAGTAAGCTTACCTTTTGTCGAAGAGTTGCACAGATATCTATTAAATCCCAACCAAACTCTTCTAGTAACTCTTTTTACTCAAGTAATTTTGTTCATTGATATAATATGTATTCTTAACCTAGTTTGTACCCCAAAATGAATACAAGCTTAAGACTGGTCGTTACATAGCTAACGTATTTTGGCTTGGAGAAAGGGACACAACTCTCATTTAACTCATCCATGCTTCACTTTCGGTTTGATATCTTGATCAGACACTGTTACAATAAACACATATATGAAATAGAGGTATCTTACAAAGCATTGCACAGCATTATCACTAGAGTTGATAAGTTAACGCCTAAATTGAGTTTTAGTAAATCGATGGGAAAAGCCAAAGACATGATGAATGAACACAATTCTTTTTTCCTGATATTGGTTCTTGGTACGTACTGTTAGTAATATCGCTTTAATATCAAGCAGTGGCGGATCCAGAGTTTTTTTGGGGCTTCAAGAACAACAACCCCCTCCCCCATGATTTTTCTATAAAAGTCATGTATTTTCACCATTTTCCTCAAATTCCCCCCTACTTAGAACACTCTATGTACTACAGCGATTTATCCCTCTAATGGATGTCTTTCTAGTCTGGTGGGATAACGTACCAGCAAGATAGTATACACCATTGTCAGTTTTTATGTTCTTTTCAAAAGAAGTATATATTCAATGAAAATTACCTGTACGTTGCCATGCAATTTTCAGGATTATAGTTCTTCGAAAAACCTCAAGAAGCGGACACCGCTTACACCAAGGTCGATATCATGAAGGAAAATTTGAAGGTTTTAAAATAGAAATAATCAGTATAACAGCAAAATTGCAGACAACAAACACGGGCCTTTACCTTACAAAGCCTACACTTTACCAATGTTGCCATCTAATTTTGTTGTCGACAAAAATGCCATGACAAAAAAAAGAAACATTGAAACAAACATAAGTTGACAAGGGAAGCTACTCTAAGACAGAAAAACAATTATTTTCTCCGACTTGTACAAAGAAGGTAATACTCAAAGTATAAAAACTTCCAACTGATATGCTACATATGTTCTTGGTACCTTTACCTTTTTATCGACTGAACAAGTAAAAGTGTCTTCTATCAAGTAATAAGGCCGAGACAGACAGCGTTATTATTGCTATTTATTACCGAACGGGTAACTTTATTTTCATGAACACCGGAGGGTGAATTAGAAATACTTACAACACACATTCGATATATTTCTTCTTTGTCCTCCTCGTCTGCTCGTCTGATCGTAAACTCCGACATTCTGTTTGGGTACAATTAAGTTACTCTTTATCAACACGCTACGTATACAATGTTACATCATATGATTATGTGTGTAAATGACCTACATATGTGTCCGCCCTACAAAATCACTCGAACACTTTTGAATCGCTGTTATGTTAATGTGAAGCGGAAGTATGTTATATTGAGGCTGGCTATATATAAACTGCTAGACACGCAAACTCATGATACTTTTTTTTTGTATTTGCATATCAATGTATCTTACATGGCCCAATAAGTTTCTATTCCTGTGCATGTATCCGCGATACAGTTGTCTTTATGAAAGTAGCCTTTGAGACGACCCCCTTTGATACCGACATTTACACACATGTGCGGAGTGTCGTGTGCAGTTGGACTGTAGTAGAGAAGATCGAGTTGTAACGTGCACGCTGAATCATACACACTGACAATGGCAGCTTCCGCTAAAGGAGAATATCAGTTTCTGGGGCGATCCGGACTGAAAGTGTCAAATATCTGCCTCGGGACTATGACGTTTGGAAAGACTGGGGGCGGTCATCCAGTAAGTGTGGTATACATGTGTGCAAGGGGAAAATAAACCCTGGAATATAGATCTCGTCAGATTGATATAACGTGTCCTGCTATAGGTATTTTAAACACCGTAATATATAAATTTTGAAACATTTTCTTCCCATATATTTTTGTAGAAAGGTGTATCTATTTGAATATGTCTGTGTTACAGTTAAGTTATTTACCACAAAATATCCATGTTACACCGGTAGCACTGAAATTTCCGTTCGCTTATCGGGAAGAGAAGGAACAAGTAAACATTTAACTCGACTTATCAATGACCCTGTTTAACTTAACCGTCCTTTGTTTTATCTATGATATTTTGTGGTTAGCTCACCTGGCCAGAACGCTGATGACGCGGCGTCCGTCGTCCATCAGTCAAACCCTACTACCCCTAAACGGCTGATCAAATTTTAACTAAATTTTGTCTGAAATAGCAGTGTACCAGAGGAATTCAATGCTATCTAAACGAAAGAGTGAGTTCCTAGGAACGAAGAGACAGGGCCGAAAATGAGAAAAATAGAAATATAATTTGAGAATACTATTTATTTATAGTATAGGAGAAAGTCATTGAACCAAAGTTTGAAATGTTTTATGATGGTTTCGCTCCTAGGGGCAGGGGCGAACAGGGGACGAAGAGATGTTTTAAACTATTATCAAACATATGTACAAACACATGATATCTGCTGATTTCCGGTTGAATACTAGAATAGCATCATATTGATTTTTTTTCACACGAGACAAAATTAATGTCTACTATACTGGGTAAATACAATTAGTATTCATGGAGAAAAAAAACACTTATTTCAAAATATTTCATTTGGAAAGCGAACAAGTACGGAACTTACTAGCGTTATCTTCCGTACTTCATTTCAATGACGACCAAGTTGAAAAAGCATCGCGTGATCTTGAAATTGCTATTCGCAATTCTGACGTTTTCTGATATTCTGATAAATTGATTATCTGATGAGAGTTAGTCACCAAAATGTTTTCAAATGTGTAGTTAATTATAATCTAACCGAAACATTTTATATCTGAACGGAGCATTTGGTATAATGTTCTCCGAGATCTATTTCTGAATTGATTACTTAATTTGCGTCGACGCTCATTTATAAATGTTATTCCATTCCCGCTTGGTTTAATTACAAACGGGACCATAACAACGATATGTAGAGTATTTATTAGTATACCATCCAGTGGAGCGATATAAAATATTGATTTGCGATAAATTTATTTTAGCGAAATAGATATACTTAATTGATATGATTGAATTGTGATAATATGATAAAAAGTAATTCGTTGACCTCCGGTCGTAATGAGGTAAAAATATCACGTTTGTAAATACACTTTATAGTCCAGCGTAGAGCGACAAGTGTTTCGATAATGTACGTGTTATCGGAGAGCGAGGCTAGGTAAAAAACGGTTTCGGTATAAAATGATGTTGACTTGTAATTGAGTATGACATTATGGTGGTCGTAATGACGAACGGAACGAGTTTTTTTATCGTTGTATCAACCAATTGTGTCCGTAAAAATCCTATATATGGCAACAAATGTTGCGTTTGATGTTGATTAATACGGGAGAGATGTTTTAGCGCCAAGTGGTCACACCTGACATGTAATTAAAAAAGACCTTTTGTGGTTTGATTTCGAGCTTACGATGTTGTGTAAAATTAGAAAACCCTGTGGCCTATCTTGTGCATTTGAAAATAAGTTTTGTTTCATTTTTCTAAGCACGATCCATATAAAAATTGAAATTCGATATCTTTTATAACTTCAATATTATTTCTTTTGACCTAGAATATACCAGTATATTTAATTTCAAACAGTATACTTCATTCTTGGAAATTTCCCCCGCAGTTTAATTTTCGCCCTACGTAATGATGGCGAGATTATCATTACAGTGAATATTAATACATAACACAATATTAATAATAATTAAATGTGGAAGTCGGAAATTCATGTAGCTTTAGGCGAAAGTTGATTTCATGGGCGAAAGGGGGAATTTTGACTGGGCCAAAGTTTGACTGGGCCAAAGTTTGACTGACTAGGCCAAAGTTTGACTGACTGGGCCAGAGTTTGACTGGCCAAAGTTTGACTGGGCTAAAGTTTGACTGACTGGGCCAAAGTTTGACTTGGCCAAAGTTTCCCGGTAGACAGTATGTCACTAAGAAACACGTATACACATGACCAATGTCATCTGAAAATTATTAAAATTGTCCTTTAAATATACTGTTTTAGGCATTTTCGAGTCCTACACAACTGGATGAGGCGAAAGCTCACGAGATCTTAGATCGATATGCGGCTTTGGGAGGAAATTTCATCGACACTGCCAATATGTACTGCCATGGCCAGTCAGAGGAAATCATAGGGTCGTGGCTAAAAAAGTAGGTGGCTTTTGAGAAAATCTAAATCACCATTTCCACCTTTCTTTCGTGTGCCATTTCCGTCGGCCAAAGGTGAAGGCAAAACCCAGTTTTCTATCATAGACTGCGAAGAATCATCCCAGTTTTTCATGTTTCCTATCAGTGCGAGTGTGAATGTTTATGACAGCTGTTTATATTTTAATGCTTGATCGCATGAATAATAACGTCTTACAGTATCTTCCTTTCTTCCTTGTGCCACTGTCATTGTAGTTGAGAGACCGCTGTGACTACCAAAGTGTATCAAACAACCTGAAGTTAGTTCGATATTCGTTTAAACAATTTGGTTTTGTTTTGTTTTGTTTAACGTCCTATCAACAGCTATGGTCATTTGAGGGCGGCCTCCCCTGTATCAAAGATGTATCGGAGGTTCATTATAGCAATTCAACATGTGTAATAAATAAAATTACCTCAGATTTTATTGGGATATTTTAACTTTCAAAAAGGTATATAGGCCATGAGTTTCCTGATAATCGGTTTAAGGATGTTTATAAATTGACATGCAAGGCAACTGGGGCTTCATAGAAATTCGCCCATTCGTGTGACCTGGTTCACTAGTTTTCGTTAACTCGTTGAAAATTTCATCTTTTTATATAACATAATTATGATTTGTACTTTGCCATATCATCTAAATTTCAAAAAAAAAGATGTCTTTATTCAAACTACGTTTTCTATAAGAACGACATTTTGTTATACACATGTAACACATTGTTTATAGCAAGTGTGTAATTGCCTAATGCACCAATGAATATTCAGTAAGATATTTTTTAGTCTTCATTTTCAGACATTTCAGACGCTATTTTTCTTTTCAGACAAAAACGTAGTGATTTCATTATCGCCACAAAACTTCGCGCCAAAATGGGTGACGGTCCCAATGATGTGGGTTTGAGCAGACGACATATCATGCAGATGTGTGAGGACAGTCTACGTCGACTACAGACGGATTACATTGACCTGTACCAGGTAAGTGAATTTTAGTTTATGCTGGTTTTTATGATAATATTCTAGAATTTTGTCTGTGATACAATTTTGTATAGATAAACTCGTCAAACAAAAATAACAATACTGAGGTAGATATTGTAGGCCAAGTTTAACTTTCGCCCTTCCCGTGAAAAACCAGCCGCCGATAAAGAGAGAAAGTTTGGCTCGGCTAAAGTTACTTGGTATACAGGAAACGGATAATTTTGTTAGACCAATCGGAGCTATTTTGGTATTTCCTTTACAATATGAATTGGACGTGACGTCATTAGTTTCTCAATACTCTAACAGTTAGTTAAACCTTAGAAACGTTTGCTATTGGAAAGCGTTAAAATATAGAATAGTTCCTTGATCTGCATTGTTAATAACATGTCTTAGCTAATAGCTTTATTTATAGGAAGTCCAACGGACTACCATTTAAGGCGCACTGCTAGGACCGTGGTATCCCGCTTGAAGACATTTGACAGATAATACGTAACATAATATCTTTATGATACTTTTAGACGCTTTCCTAGGCCAGTTGTATCCTGCTTAAAGACATACTTAACTAACAAACAATACACAACATGACATCGTCCTACACCTTAAGACGCGCTGCTAAGACATTTGTATCCCGCTAAAACGCATTTACAGTCAGCAAGCAACATAACATCTTCCTTGCACATTCAGACCCACTGCTGGGACTATGGCGTGCCGCTAGAGGAAACATTCCGCGCTCTGGACGACCTTGTCAAAGCTGGGAAGGTCAGGTACATTGGGGTTAGCAATGTTAACGGATGGATGATGCAGAAGATTGTGAGCACGATTAAAGAACTTGGTCTTACCAACGTCATCAGCCTACAGGTACTTATCCCATTACCACTGATACAGAAAATAGGCAAATACATAAGATCTGGTAATAATATTGTATATGAATTTGGCACATTTACCTAAGAATGAATAAAAACAAAACGTTTTTGCAGAATAATACAGGCGACACTTAGTCAAAACCAAAGAGGACTTTTGAATTTCGTTTATGATCAATTAGGCTAAAATCTATAAGAAAAGATTGTTCTTTATTTTTGGTATACTTAGCGTAACTGCGTTACAAAAGGATGTTTTCTAACGCTTATCAGCTTATATTTTGACAGTACTTTGTTTAATTTATTTTCAGCAACAATACAATTTGCTGTGTAGACATTCTGAGTGGGAAGAATTTCAAGTATGTCGCAATGAGGGGCTAGGGGTCATGGTTTGGAGCCCCCTAAAGGGGTGAGTGGAAGTAATAATCTCGAATTGATGTTTAAATTACTGCAGTTAGGCATCATTGTTTGTATATACACTACTATATTTTAGAAAGGGTGCAACAGTAAGGTGAGGATACATGTACAAAAACACCAATTTTTAAGGTTTTTATATAATTTACTTCTCTTTGCATTATATTCTTTTCTTTGAATTCCTTCACCTGAGATATAATATTGTTAACACATGTATGCATGGAGGGGGAAAAAAACAGATAGTTCAAGGGACGGAAGACGTTGAGATTTCATGCTTTCAATGGAGACTACTTGTTAACAAACCGAAAACAAACAGTCTCCGCTTGAAAAATACATAAACCGAATGCAAAGTCAGAAGTTTTTGAAGGTTGAAAATGTCCAAATCTCCAGTTATCTCCCTTGACACTGGTACACCTACATTCAGTTTACTTAATGTCTCGCTGATTAATTGCAATATTTTCTCTCATTTCCCTGTGTGTAAGATAGAGCTGCCCGTGGTAAGAAAGGGTTGTAGGAATATTAGACTCTTTCATGCTAAGAGGTGTAGGATAGGGAAATTCCACCCGAGGGGTTTTCAAACTTGGTAAAACCCGAAGCTTTGCCGAGGGTTTTGCCAAATTTGAAAATCCCGAGTGTGGAATTTCCTTATCCTACACCCTTGGGCATGAAAGAGTATTTTTCTCTCATTCTAACCACCAGAATAATCTCAGAAACCATGAAAATGCGTTTGGACTGGCCACCATTTTGAAAATATCCCCCCCCCCCCCCCCCCGAGCTTTTTAGACGAAAACGAATCTCAAAATTAGCATATCCGATATTGGCAAACAGAGTTTGCTCAGAAAAAATAATCACATCTTTCTAACTTGTACGGTAAATATATCGTAACAGGTTTATAATTTCATCACGTCGCCTTTTCCACATTGCGGCATCGGGGAGTTCCAAATTCGTGACGTCACGTCATTGTCAAGCCATTGTGACGTCACGTCACGTAAAATGGAGTGTAACATAGACATTTGCTATACCATTTCTTACCATGGACAGCTCTATCTTACACACAGGGAAATGAGAGAAAATGTCTATTCTACATCCCATTTCACGTAACGTAACGTCACAATGGCTCAACAATGACGTGACGTCACGAATTCGGTAAATTCCANGCCCTAGTCTGTGTGCAATGTCAATATCAGATTTGCAAATCCCAACTTTCAGTTTGTCCTTCACGAAACTCACAATCTTTCCAACACAGTCTTCCACAGTCTCATTTCTATCTGCGTCTTCAAATCCCACTATCCTAATAGAATTTTTCCTCCCATGTTGTTCCAGATCATTTTGTTTGTTTTCAAGTTCCAGCCATTTGTCTTCTGAATCTGTTAATTGCTGTTCAAATCTGGTTACTGATTGTTTTAAATCCTCATTCTGCTCCTCTAAGTCGTAAATCCGACCCTCCATTCGCTCTATCAAACTTTTTTTCTTAATTAATCTGTCAGACTGATTCGTGGTTGTTTAAAAAGCTCAGGGGGGAATTGGTATTTTCAAAATGGTAGCCAGTCCAAACGCATTTTTATGGTTTCAGAGTTAATATAGGGAAATTCCACTCTCGGGATTTTCAAATTTGGCAAAACCATCGGCAAAATCTTCAAATGAAAAACCTGGCAAAACTGGATAATAACGTTTATATTGAATATGACATCCCATGAATAATTTTACTCAAACATTTATCTTTCTAATAACACTTCCAGTGGAATTTTATCTTTCTAATAACACTTCCAGTGGAATGCTAACTGGAAAATTTGAACGAGGCCAGAGGCCAGATGGCGACGGAAGTCGAATCGGTCACGTGCACAAGAACGAGAAATCTGCGATATCCAGCTGTCCTGCATGGACCTGGTATGCAGAGGACGAGGCCTACTGGAACCTTGTGGATGTAATGAAGAAGGCGGCTGCTAACCACGGTATGTAAATGTATTTGTATGTTTGTACGTTTCATGAGGAATACATGGATATATCTTTATGAAAAACTAACCAACGAGTTCCTCCAGAATGATGATGGAATGTGTCAGTTGGATAAACTCGACCTCAGAAAGCTGATATTCTTCTGAGGCGAAGGGCTTTTGTTGTGGCCTTGTCTCTCTATGGTAAATGTACGCATAAAAGTGTTCATATAACAAAGCAGTAGACTACTTTTTAGTGCTATGCAAGGATTTGTAGACACTAAAAAGAGATCTTCTGCAAGCTCGGGGCAAATAACCTTTTTCGAGGGTGACACATCCTCGTATTAACTTTTGAAAAAGTCAGTAATTGTTTAATGCAGCTTAAAAACCCTTTCTGTTTCAGGTAAATCTGTGCCCCAAGTGTCACTGAAATGGTTACTACAGAAGAATGTAGTATCGTCTGTCATTATCGGGGTTACCTCTGTTAAGCAGCTGGAGGACAACATGGCGGCGGGGGGAGACTGGCAGCTGACAAAAGAAGAGGTAAGGGGACATAACTCATGTTATCATTCAAACTGTTACCGATGTTCTCTGCTTGTCAGTTCTCATCTAATTCACTGATTCCATGTTTAAATGTTTCGAAATGTTTAAATCGTATTTTTTATTCAATGTTGTAGATGACAAGTTTGGACGAAACCTCAGCACTACCTAGTACATATCCATACAACCAATTAGAGCGCATGAATGCAGGACGAAATAATCCCTTCTTTGCCCTTCCGTTCGTAGAAAACGTTTTTAAATGATGAAAGTATTGTGGAAATAAGAGGCGAACGTTTTTAGATAATGAATCAATCCGTATTCATAAACATAATAAATTCTATTAACTCAGGAGAAATGAGCCATAACCGAAATGTTTAAACGGTGTCGTTAGCAGGTCACGACCTATAGCCTTCATAGTGGATCTTATTATTTAGAATATTAAGGGTAATGCACATGCACACACTTGCTATTCATAAAATATTCATAAAATATACCAGAATAATTCATACTATGATTTCAAATTATATGTGATTGGTAATTATTGGTAGTCTATCGTGCTATGCGTATGAGATTTTGGTGATTTTACCAGAAAATAAAATGCTTGAACCAAGGGTAGAATTTCTACATCCCAAAAATCCACTTTCTGATTGATTATTCCTTTTTCTCCCACAACCTGAATGTGTTGCACAGATCAACCAAAAGTATATATATAGTTTAAAGCAGATTGCAAAAGCTCGTTAATTGTCTAATCTGTACAAGTTGTAGATATTCTTCTACAGATCAAAACATGGATAGGGGGGCAAAAACGTTTCAAAACGTCAGCCGGCAAGTTACGTAATGTACTTAACATTGAAGACAAATATATTTGGTTAAATGCAATTCCTGTTTTTCATGAAGGACTTGACAAGAAAACCAGTGTCCCCGCGTGTTACACATACGTGAGTGTAGGAGAACATTCTATTAATAACCAGGGTTGTTGATAATTGGTAATTTTAGTTTATGTTCATTTTATTATCCAATATTTGATTGATTTGATGACATGTTGTTACTGTTTGTGTTACAATATAAATAAATAATTTAAAAACGTTTCAAATCCTCTAATTTTATTTCAGAGCATTTTAATGTACAGATCGCAAGTAAAAATGGCATTGGGAAACACGCACATGACCTATACAATCATCCTTTATGATATTTAACAGTAAATGCATATTTATCGAACACATGTACATGAATCAACGTTATATTTGAATATCATAAGGTGACGGTTTTTTGATATTTTTGGAGCATATACATGTATCTAAAATGTTCACAATCGTTTAACGAGAGATGCAATATAAGCTGTCAGTTAGTCAGACAATAAATGGTGACCAGCACCGACCAATTATCCGAAAACATTCACTAATTCTTTGTTCCTATCTATAGAAACAAACCGTATAAAATTTGTAAGAAATATATAAAAAATAAAATGAAAAATGAAAATATCTACATATATAACGATAGAAAACGATACAATATAACGCACAAGGATAAATACGGAGAGTATCAAAACATATGGAAAAGAAATATAACGGCATCAACACACAAAGACAAAACAGTACATCACAACACACGAGGGCAAAATTCAGCGTCAGGTCAAAAATAGTGGGTGTATTCTTATGTCATTTCCCACGTTTAAAAGAAACTAAAATGCTTCACATAAGTCCGTTTTGTATCTTATTAATCGTTTTGAAACAGTCTTGTAGTCAACAAGCTTATCATAATGAACTTTTTTGACTCGCAAAAATTTTAAGTTTAATCGAAAGCATTTCCAGCCTTCGTTATTTGCTGTCCTCGTCTATTTAGATTACACTAGCCTACTAAGACAGTGTATTAAGAAGACCCCTCGCTGGTAGGGTTCTCCCTAACCCCTGGGAACCTGATTAACCATACGCAGTAGAACGAGAATGGTTTTATTGCTATTACTTCTCAATCCGTTTTAATGACTAAAGTGTAGAAGAAATTACATTTTTTATCATATATACAACCATCAGAGAGCGTGTTGTGTAGGGGCTGTCCCAATCACTTGCCGTCTTAACTGTTATCTGTGATAATGTAGATCAATTATTAATATACAGTGTTTTAACACTATCTTATGTTAAGACGATTGATCTCTGACATGTATGCTGTTATGTAATGTTACTGTATCAATGTAATGGTGATATATGACTCTTTATTAAAACAATATTGACTTGACTATATTCCTTGTACTATTGATGTTGTGATAAACAGCTGTGAAATTAACAAGTCAGAGTATGTTACTTGATAACATACAATAGAGATATGAATGCTGATTCCGACTAGGACACTATAAATAGCTAGTATCTTCACATTTACCTCCATTACGTACAAGGCAGAGATAACAGAAAGTGAAAAAAATATATACTCATTATACAGAACACATTTTTAGAAGTAAAAGATAATAAAAAACCGCCTGAAGCGTTGAATGTTTCGGAAAAGTTATTACTTTGGAAAACCCTATGAGGGTTGAGCTGACTACTGAACTATATATGATCGGAAATAAAACGTATTCATGAATATGTATTTGTATTTGAAAAGGTTTTAAATGTAAATATTCATATACGGTTATTTGTAAGCTAAAGATTTCATTAAGTCCTCTCCGAGCCCAGTCTATTTGTTTGGCTTTGGAATGCACTCTGTCAGGACTGATTTTAATTTTGTGGTGCACAAGGAGTGCTCAACGATTTCATCTCGAGTCCTATAAGATGCTAAGTGGACAGTAGGATATGTGTACATATTGTGTGTAGTTCTTTCTGACTCTGTAACAGTATGTGAAAATAGCACGAGCATTGCAAGCAAGTTCAATGTTCAAAACCAAATCCATAAAACAATAAATAAATAAAAAAAATCACGGATCCTAACATATCAATGTATCTAAATTTCAGCAACCCAGTAGCAATATTTAGGTGAAAATCGCCATTTGGATGGTAGACATTTAAAAATTGGATCACTCTTTATGTGGTCGATTTGTATAAAAAAAAAAATGTTTAAGTAATGAAAGATTACAACATAAGTATCAAATGAATCTTTTTTTAAAATAATTAATAACAGACCTAACAAGTTATCGACTTTAATACAGACAAAGCAACGCGTGTGTGCGAATCCATGCACGTGCTGAAGACATGATATTTGGTTATCTATCTATACGCACTCGTGCGTAACAATAAAGTAATGCGCTATAAATTAGCTCATCCCAAACACAGGAACTGCGTTGTAAATACCCCCGACCACTTGTATATTGGAAAGAATTTATAATACCATTTATTATAAAAGCTAACTGAGAATTACCGTAAAATACCAAAAAAATGTCTTCTAAACTTGTGAAGCTCTTAACTTATTCAACATTATCATTTCGAAGTATACATTTTAACAAAACAGTTGAAGCTGAAATATTTACGCACATTTTCGTTGTTTTATATACTTCATTAAAGCATTCTTATCACAATATGTATCGTGCTGTATACATTAAACCGTGACATGAAATATACATAAACAAGTCTAAACACACAACATTTGTTCGTGTATCTGGTTCTGTAACTACAAACATAAAATAGGAAAATATAAAACGTAAACAAAATATCAACATCCCGGGAGCATTGTACACATGAAACTTAGCAAAACTTGTTATAAACTCATCATATCAACTTAAATGCACATTTAACAGCTGAGCATGTATATGCCGTCTTTGCGTATCTTCTCTTGGGAGCAGGTATTGAGTGTTACGTCACTTGTTTGTGAGAGAGTAACGTCATCAATTCTTGAGAAAACGACGTAGTTTTCTCACACAAACCAATGACGTAACAATCAATATCTGATCCCAAGAGAAGATAACTCTGCAATACGCGGAATACGTGTACATCCATGAAATCTGTACTAAATAACTATCAAACTGTGGCTACCGGGTTACTACAAAAACATTTATATGCTACATTAACAATTACGCATATGCGTTTTGTTACAAAATATCTCCCCTTAATCTTAATTATGTTAGTGTTATCCGACATTGATCTAATTTGTAAGAGTTGCCCCTCCCTCCGACCTAAACTATCATCTTCCCTAGTACAGTTCATTGCCAAATTATAATCCAAAACATATGTAATGACGTCAATATATACACTGCTACGTATAATTCGAGTAGAACTTTCATTTACATATCAACTGTCTATATATATATATATCAATGGTATACACGGTATTGTAAGGTAATATAACAATTCAAACAGTTTTAACGGATGTACAGAGTTAATTATCGTGGTTTGCATATGTTGCATAAACATGTAAAATAAATTGCCATTTTCGTATTATTTTATAAAATTTGAAATGACAACAAGTTGTAAATCGTGGTGGGGTTGGAATAGGGTGATGTTGATGACGGGTGAGGCGGGGCCGGGGGGGGGCGCTAAACTAGCTGTCTGTCTGAAGCTGCTACAAAAGGTTTGTTTGTTAGCATATCACACAAATAAACGGCTCCGGAAATTTGCACCAATTGGGTATACAAAGGAGAGGAGTACTTTTCTGATATAAGCATTTGAAAATGGAAAATTATGAGCCCATATTATGCATGTACATGTATGCCCTATAATCGAATCTACATTCACTGAAAAACAGTTTCTGAACCTACAAAATAGTTTTGGCATAGCAAAAGGTGCCTTTTATCTCACAAGAGATATACAAAACAATACTTGAGTCTGTTAATTCTAAATTATATATATACAAAACAATAATTTGGTTATAAGGATAGGAACAAATTGTGTTAGGGTTTGTACAAGGTTGAAGGATACATTTGTAAAATGATATTTCAATAACACTGAAATGTGTTTGTGACATACAAACCCCGCAATGAGAATTAAGTAGCATCGAACATACTTTGGACTTCACATTCACGATGTCCCACAACAAATAGTTACATATTTAACACAATATCAGTTAGAGCTATGTTATTGTTGTTAGTTACACATAGGTCGCCTCGGGCTTGCGAGGTAAAATTCCTTACTTGCCGAAGAGACAATCTAAGTTTCCTCCAGAAGTTCTCGTCACCCGCACTGAGTGTCACGTGAGATTTGAGATAATGGCGGAGCTCCTCGTCTTGCACAGTGTCTGTGTTAACATCACACATTAACACGACAACAAGATGGTTGTATTTATCCCGCAGTGACCTCTGTGCAGCTGCACGAAACGTAAACAATGACCACTCGTCCACGAACGTGTACTCAGATACAATGAACAGAGTGTGAAGAGAGGTAGAAACTGCTTGCAGAATATTTTCCTCCTTTGCTGCACCAAGGATAAAGTCTCTATCGGGTAAACACAATGAATACCCACATTCTTGTAGCTTTGGGCACAACTTTGTTATGATGAACGCTAAAAGATCCTCAGAATAAGTAAGAAATATGCCATTGTTTCTGTTGGGAAAATTTTCCGGTGTCTGTCTGCTTCTTTTTTCAAGCAAACTTTGTAGAACTGGCAAAACATGAATGTCCTCAGATGTCCCATAATGAGGCATGTAGTACAATATTTTTTTTCTGATGAATCGTTCCTGAGTACTGAGGTAACGAGTGTGTTTCATCAAGCTAGCCATCTCAGAATCCAGTACATCAGAAGCGAGCACATTGTCTGTTACAAACTGTATAAACCCTACGCCGTTGTCTGGTATACGGTTCTTGACCTCTGTCCAGGCTATTTGAAGCTTGTTATCGTCCAAGAACTCTTTAGAAAGGACGAATAAGACTTTCCTTGTATTCTCCACAAGGCATGCAATATTATCATGGAATGAAAACCCCGCCACACAGTCATTGCATAAATACAAAATGTTAAAAACAGTTCTGTTCTTTCTCACGGCCAACGGTGATATATGTTCCGTCACCCATGCCTGTGTTTCAGGTGAATGGAATACGACTAGATCGATGGATTTCGAAGTCAGTTTCTTCTCCTTGTCAAATGGACGAATACCAAGATAAATGTAGAGAAATACTTTTACTTCCAGTCTATAAATACAGACAAGTGCGATGACGACGAGAACGAGGCTTACAGACAGCGATGATACAGTGGCTGGAATAATCACGTGTTTCCTTGCGTTGAAGTCCTGTTTACACACAAACTCAGTGGTGGGAACCTTAAGTAAAGGCCTCGCCGTTCCTATCTGTGTGTTGCAGGTCAGTGTTGAGGAGTCTATCACCACGTCCTTGTTACGTTCGATCCACGACCTCATCCAAAGGGAGTGGCAATCACACGAGAACGGGTTGTCACTGACGATCAGTTCTGTAAGATGGAGGAATTGAATCTGCTCTGGCAGACCGATCATGTTATTGGAGGACAGGTCTAGGTTTTCAATGATATCCAATTGTGACACAGCATCTCCGTCTACTTGACTTATCTGATTTGCATTCAAAGACAACCTACGGACACGGTTGAGGTAGTTCCTGGACTCAATCCGCGTTATGTTATTCCTTTGAAACCAGAGATCCAACACTCCCTCCGGTAGACGCAGAGGCAGAGCCATCATATCAGTATATCGACAGTCAACAATGATGATCAGAGATACAGAACGCCGGTAACAGGTACAAGTATCCGGGCAAAAAGAAATATTCACCCCACAATACGTCTCTGACTCATTTATCTTAAGCAGCACCCGTCCGGCAAGCTCTTGCGGGTAGACACATGTCCACTCATGGAAGAAATAGTCATCGAATGTTATAGTTGCTTTCTGCGTATACTGACGTATGGTGTTGATGAGCGGAATTATACCACAGTCACATCTGAGTGGGCTCTTGTAAAAATTGAAATGAAAATGAATGAGAACAATTATGAATTTTATTTTGCTTTCCTCGTTGATATTAGAAGAAAGTTCAAAACCCTGCGTCAAACTTTCGGATAAGTCAATTTCTCTTAGATAACTCGGACGAGCAAATATGTCAGCATTAGACTCGCTGGAAGATTTAATTACACTTTCCTTTAGTAAGGTAGAATCCATCTCCTCGAGCTGTCCCGAATAGTTAGTCAGCGTAATAGATGTGTTCCTAAGATTTATGCGCCTAAGACTACGTATGTAGTAAGTTATTTTTGGAATCTCGCGAAGAGGATTGCTGCTGAGACCTACGGTGGTTAGTGCTATTGAGTGAAGTGGAAATGATGCTTCGCTGATAACTAAGATATTGTTTCCGTCTAAAAGCAACGTTTCTAAGTTGAGAAGTTTTACAAACAGACCTTCACCGAGAGAGGACAGTCTATTTGAAGCCAGGTTAATGTATACGAGGTTGACAGAATCATCAAACATACCTTCTGATAGGATTTCGATAAAATTATTATGGATATCCAAATGCCGAAGTGATGTAAGACCACGGAGGAACCCCACCGGAAGTGACGTAAGCTCGTTGTCTGCTAGTCCGATGTTTTGAAGATCCATAACTTGACGAAAACATTGTTCGCCGATATCCCGGAGACTGTTGTTGTTGAGGGAAATCATTTGGAGAATTCCGTGAAACTTGTATTCCTTCAGGCTCCTGATGTTATTATTATCCAAATTATATAAACGCCTATATACATTAGGCTGGATATCGATATTTAGCGCCAGACTGTAATGACTTTGGAAAATACGTGACCGAGACAGGTTTCTAGGGAGATAAGAAATTGCGTCATTCCATGGAAACTCTTCGGGAGGTTTGGAAAATTTATTATTTTGTAGCTCTAAGGATTCCAGAAATGGAAAAGTGTGTATAATACCGGGTGGTAGTTCACTCCAATCCATGTGAAGGAACGAAACCTCTCTCATCTCTGGAAATATCTCACCACTTGCCATAAACTCTAAAACTGTACTGTTATAAGTGGAAGTTTTGAAAATGGAAAAGGCTACTGTATTACCCAGAATGCCTCGCGTTGTCGTTAGGGAACGATTTGTAATATCATATAGCGGAACTCCGTTTAAAGTCACCACGCGCATGTCAAATGCATCAGAAAAGTGTTGAAGACTTTCTATCTCAAATATACAACCTTGCACTTGGAAATATCCGATTACGTTATAAAATGAATCTTGTAGTGAGTTTGTGTTGGTGAATTTAATATGCAGAGGTTTTCTACACGCAAAAACCAACATTGCTGCTACGATACGCTCCTTTGGGAAATTATAAAAGCTTATCAAACGTGTCGCGTTGATAGTGCATGCTTCAGTATTGTTGGTGTTTCCGAAAGCAAACGACTTAGCGATCGTCGGGACGTCAAGTCCGTGGTACTCGTACAGACTTGGAAACTGAGTAAAATCCTTTTTGACGTATTCACATTCCAGTGTGTTTTGTATCAAGTTCTGACCGAGACAGGGAACTAGCACTGCGATGTTTAGATACAGAGCCGTCAGAATAAATATTTCAAATCTCCGAGTTACTCTCATGTTGAAGCTGTTCTCGCCGTACTACAAATGTGGATCCTATTAAACGTTTGATTCAGTCGCGACGTCACTATACATACTTTATATGCAGGTGATCAATCATGGCTTAGCAGTTAATGGAAAGGCTCAACTTTGGGCTTCTTTTCCTCCCATCTGTGAATACAAAGATGCACATTCAATTTGAGCATAAATTCTAACAAAATGTGTTGTTGAGAAATAGTGATATTTTATCGTTCATTATGTAAAATATATTGAAATTTATTCATAGATTTGAGAAATAAACATACATTTAATTGATTGAAAGCCCGACGCACACTATTCATTTTTGCTAAACTTACTATTTCGAGTGTAAGTTACGTTTTATAGTTTGCCTTTACGTTTCGGGTCCCATCAATGTTCCTTGTGATATTCACATCCTCTTTGGATCCAGTTTGTGTGGTTGTGTTTGAATATTAGTTTTACTCCGTCTTTTTACGTTGTTTACCCGAATTCGTATCCATAGACAGCCTAATATAGCTAATCAATCACCGTCATTATTCTGTAGTAAACTGTTATTCTCACATTAGAGTGTTCATACACATCGCCTTATGACAAATGAACAAACACACAGGGAGAGTTTACCTGTGACAGATTTGAAATGTATATATCTCACTTTTATATAGATCGCTCGAGGTGTCGGCATATACCCTAAACAAATAACAATTGACAAACGTTATGCCGGGGAATTTTCGCGCTGTTTATCTTTCATCCTTTTCACCCTCCGTAATGAGGGCGAATTTATCATTTGATCGAACATTAGTAAACATAAAAAATAAAAAAACGATCAAATGTGAAGGGCGAATTTAACACTGGGCGAATACGGATTTCACCAGCCAAGGGTGAAAGGTTGACTGGGCGAAATAATCCCGGTACATCTTTCGAGCAAATCATATAATTTAGAGAAGTCACGCTGTGTACAGAGAATGAAAAAAAAAACTAAATTGAAAAAAGGACTAGGTGATCGAAGTTGTTTCGCGAAAAATTATGTTTTTTAAAAGTGGTATAAGTTTATGATTGATTGACAACATATTAATTTTTTAATTCCCCTTAAAGTAGGTATGATAAATATCAAAGTGTTACTTTATACACAAACAATGTACGTATTGAACGTGTCGCAACGATTCAAGACCGACTGGAGTGAGCGATTTGTATTTTTTTACCGGTACGGCGATGGGCCAGTCGGTCTTGAAACATTGTGACACGAATAAAACGTACATTGTTTGTGTATAAAGTATCACTGTGGTATTACATATAGCCAAACTGGTGAATCGCATGGGTATGACAAGTATTTTCCAACAGGGGAACGACAAAATATATCAAATTAGTTGAATATAAGAGAGGTGAATCTAGGACTCCCCAACGACGAGTTGCTCTGGGAGAAACTGAGTTGAAAGAGGTTTGGTTTATATTTAAATCCTACAACACTGTAAAGTTGTATTGTACTCAGTGACATGAACCCACACATACACATACAAGTATTATTTGATATAATGTACATACAAATATAAAGTGATAACGACCTATGTCTATAAAACGCGTGTATTATTAACGATGTTTTTTTCCTGGTTATACAGACCCATGATGTTACTACATGTAAAGCGTAATACATGAACACATTCAACAACAAGTAGTGCGATATTTGCTTAGTTGATACGGTGATAGTCAACAAAGTCAATATGTGTCCTTGTTAAGTTACATTTTAAACATATAGAGGATTGAACAGCACACGGGTGTGGGTTACAGTTTACGTAAGACATTGTACACGTGAGTGTGTCAATTGACACACTCCTTTAACGATACATTCCTGTGGTAAGTATTCCCGATGACAATGTTTTTAATTTAAGCTGTCCTGTTTATTTTGCTTACTTACACAGATATAAAACGTTTGAAAAAATGCAATCTTGTTATACCCTGTCACGAAGAGGTAAAGGACATGTCGTGTCACCCATATCCGTCCGTCCGTCCGATTGATTTTGTGTTATGATAGTTATCAGCTGCAGAAAGGTCACACAACGGTGTCTTACATATACAAGTGTAAACATATACAAATATATATATATGCAGTAATGTATTTCACTCTTCAGATATGTTGTTTTCTTAAAATGTATTGAACGGTTCCATAAAAATTCTTTCATAATTATCATATTTTGATATCAAAACAGCCATATTTTTTTTCTGTATGTATTGCATATTTAACTTTTATTTCACATTCCTGTTTAGACCAACAAATAAAATGTGTCCTCTCCCTTCAATGTATTTGTTAAGTGTCTTTCTCCCTACCTTTCCCATTATTCTGTTATATGTTTTCCTTCCATTAATTATAATGCGTTTCCCCACCCCTCCCCATTCTACCATTTCTTGTATTATGCCCCCACTCCATTATTTTGCTGATTTCTCCCCGTCTATTCAATCTTTTGTATAATGGTTGTTTTAATAGCCTATTTAAGCGTACCTGTTTCCCCGGTAAGTCGTTACTACGTGTGAAGCAGTGGTGAATGTAGTTAGAACGTAAATAGTATGGATACAACATAAAATCACACAGACGACATTTTTATTGGTAAATATACTTCAACGCATACACTAATCTCGTGATTTATTCTTCAACAATAAATAATACATAAACATGATGTCACATTACAAAATGATGTAAGATGGTACAGAAATATATTTATAACAATCATATTGCTATGTTATACTATCAGGCATTAACTGATGTTATTGTTTCATTAAGAATAACGGATTAAACGTTTGCTTTTACAAGGATACCGTAATTTAACAAAAATAACTTACCTTTATGTAGATTCAGCGTGTCTGTCAGTCGGTAGAATATCAGGTGTGTATTCCTCCCGGAAGTAAAGCCCCAGGTTAAACCCCAGCTTTGGAATTTCCGTATGTATTATAACGGTTCAACCATGCGTTACCTCCATATGTACTTTGTTGCTACTCCTGGCGCACACACAATGTTAGTGTGTACGTACAGTGGCCCAGATTTGAACCATCGTACAGTAAACAAAATCCCCGACACCGACAGTTTAACACTTTTACTATATCGCCGTATTATCTACACGTCCTTGCGTTTCGTCGGAAGAATAACAGAAATAACATGATAATAGAAAAATACAGTTCTTGTACCATAGATTTGTTTGTCAGATTGAAATCGATGACCGATATTTTTTTTGTTATACATAAGTGGCCAGTCCCTAGTGTTGTTATTCCGGATAGGACACAGAGGCTGATAAAGGAGTAACCACAATTACTTATACATTGTACAGGGATTGTCATGTATATAAGTCAAGTGTTCCTCTCATAGTTATCGTCATTCTATGAGCGTCACTAAATAACGAATACAATATTACACTAAATGGCAAAACAAGACTTCACGTTATTTGTGCAGTATCAAAGAGGTTCTGAAGGTTTCTATAATGAGGTGCAGTATTTCTGTAGTGGATGATGTTACGAGGAATTATCACAACTTCAGGTCATGATGTTGATAAATCCTCGTGAGCTGTACTGTTAAACTTGTTTATCAACGCTAACATTCAATATCCCTTTAATTTCTAGACTGAGCTTTAGAATATATCGTTAGAACATACACGGTAAATATGGGAGAAGTTTTTCTAGATGATGGGATTTCCTCATTTTGTCGGAGTGTGTCCTGGCTTATTTCAAGGTAAGACATCGTGTCACGTTAAACTTCAATATGTGGCTAACTGTCGAATCAAGCTTACATTCTCGGGTACATTTACCAGGTACATGTAATCTAACACGACAACAGATAACAAACTGGAATACAATAGGAAAGAACTCATCAGTGTTAGGTTGGGCACGTATTAACTGTGTTTACAGATGTTGGTGATCAGGTTCAACTATCGTTCCCATTATTGATTGTATATACTGTCGCAGTTCTCTGAATGATTTCACAAACATTGAGATCAATATGTAACTAAAGTTCGGGTATTTCTATACCTTCCAATTGTAATACATAGCAGATAGTCTCATGCGTCGAATCCAAAATAAGAAACTGCTTTTATGTATCTGTAGAAAGATTTTAGTGAACTGTTATCTTGACCTGATCCTCAATAAGCTTTTAACTACGATATTATATATGTGTTTGCAACGAAAAAGAGAATCATTTAAAAATATAACCTTCTACCATTTTGATTGATTTTCTCTCATGTAATCATCATTCATTATCAGTTATAATACGGGTCCTAATATCTGAATATAACTTTTTAATCATTTATGTATTTATTCAGTTTTCATTGTAGGTTAGTTGTCAGTTTTCATTTATCAGCATACTTTTCTAAACTGTCAGGCCAACTTTTGGGTCTGTCAATTGACTCGGAGATACAAAACAATTACTCATCCACATATTTGTGGCGGAAGAAGCCTGACATTATTGAAGCTATAACGTGTAGCCTCTCCATTGACAATGATAGTTTCAAAATCTTTTACAACTAAAGAGAAAGAAACGGCAGAAGAATTTCCCCGGAATTATTGGATAAAGCATCTTAACATTTATAATTCAGTACTAAATCTGACTTATTTCATTTCTAAATTGAATGCATATATTCTAAAATACGAGCTCTAACACCAAACTTTAACTTACGGGTACCACATACTAACTCTGTCTCGATTATCAAAAGCTTTCCGATAATCCAGAAATCAAGAATATACTCGTTTTTCACATTTTTTAAAATATGTTATTCCGTTTAAAGCAAGAATAACGTAAACATTACTGATACCATGACAATGTCTGACAATGTGAGCAATCTTAAAACAGCGATAACCATTTACAGTAAAACACTTCTTATTAGACTGCATTGACTTTCAGCTACATGTAACACGATAAACTTTCTATAATAATATAACATTCCGTAAATTTCTTTTTTTCATTTCGAATCAGTAAATATCTCTATGCTTCTAAACTACATGAAAACTGTTAGTCTGTTCCAACAGATATCACAAATCATAGCCACATTCAACAGTCGGGTTTCCGTTTGTATGTCTGTGTTTTCGTAGGTTTGATAACAGTTCCTGTAAAAACTGACCAAAAGGTGATAGAATTTAAAATGTCGAAATTTATTTATATACAGCATAGGTTGAAATCTCATATGTAGAAAATCTTCAGTTAACAATGTATTGGTCAGCAGAATGTGCTTAAATATACTATGTATATACGCAAGGTTGGTTTATATTCAGCTTTTAGAAAACCTTGGACAAACAGTGTCATGGTGATCAGTAGAACGCGCTAATGAAGGATATCCTAGTTCTTTAACAGAATCATTGGAGTGTAGTGAAGTAATTGGCACATGTAAAAACCGAAAGCTTATATTTATTTCGTTTCGTCATCTTCTGTTCACCGCCGAATAGGGAAAGATTATTATAATTTAGAACTGTAAATACATCGTTTATTTAACGTATTCATAATTTTTAACATGTTTATTATATACAGGACTGGGCGGGACTTTTCACTCACTGGAATGTTTTATATTCAGTGATAGCACGATAATATATAATGATATCCGGCTATTTATTGGAAAGCAAAGAAAGAAATACTTTGGTGATTACCCGTGCTAGTACGCGTATGTCTTGATACTTGACACTACGTAGAGGCTATATTTAGTATCAGGAACTCACGCCTAAGAATTTTCTTTAATGGCTGTGCTTGCCTACAGCTCGGTTCCATTGTTCATTTCATTTAGTGAAAATCAACGCCCAAAAATCGACACCTGAATCAATTGTACCATGGCTAAATTTCTGCAGTTTATTGGTTTTAAATCAATTCTCTTATCAATTACACTGTTTCTTAATTCGATAATACAGTTGAATTTACGAAATCAACGCTTAAAGTATTTATAATGAAGTGTATTATAGGTAAATTAATACTTTAATCAATTGTGTATATAAATAAACGTCAGTTAACTCTCAAAATAATTGTACAAGTTATTACACTTAAATCGACACACAAATAAATTGTACAGTTATGCGAAATAACACTTACTTTCTTTGGCGTAGTTAAGTTTATGTAAATCAACAAACAAATCAACTACTGAAGTATTGGCGACATTGATAGCATGCATCGATGAAGTTAAGAAGAGTTGAGGAGGATTAAAACGTATCTAACCCACTGCATGATCATTTGCGGCGACTAAGTTTGGACGATCGCAGGATCGGTATTTTTTTAATTTTTTTTGTGTGTGTTCTGGGTAGTGACAATGTAGAAATCAAACTTGATCTGCTGTGTCAGTTGAAATACGGTCGTATTGCTTTTATTTTAGCTGTTGTGATGATGCAAAACTCTATCCGAAAAAAGGAGAAGTTCATTTTTTTTTAATTTTTTCTTTAACTCCACTTTATTTTTCTACAAATAAAAATATTCGGAAAAAAATTATGATGCTTAAAACATATTGTAATATGTTTCTTACATAATTATAGTGGACAAGATGTAAAGGTTTTGTATTAGGCTGTTAATATAGAGGCCTGTATGACATGAATTGCTGATCTGTTCCTTTCGGTGTCGGAAGCAGACAACAAATTGAAGGTTTCCAATAACTTTGGTCGTGGTATTTTGATCCAGAATGTAAATCTAAAACACTTGTTTATTAGCAATGACAGAAATGTAAGTCCATTTTGTTATCTTGAACTAAGAATAAGTCAAAGATGTTTGAAAAATCGAAGAGAAAGAATGACATGTTTAATGATAGTCAACATTTATTGTCAAGTATAATAATTTTGCACTAATTATATGGATTTACAATTAATATATTTGAGGATTAGAATTGAAATAAACGGTTCATTAATAAAGATGATTTTTAAGTTCATTTAAATCCCTATAACCTATAACTGAGCAAGATCGGGTTATCTCAGTCTATGGCTAAATAACCCCGATTGAGGTACAAGCCGAGGTGGAAGCTAACATAATCTCCTCTATTGCTTTAGTATTCCCTAGGGATTTCTATATGCCCCATCTGGGGCCTCAAAGTAAGAGGAACTCTCCACTTCTAAAACTACATTAAATACTACGTTCAAATACTACCACTTAAAAGGTCAAAATGCAGGATTGAAAATAATTGTTAAAGTCATATCCCGTTTAGTGTAGACGTGTGTGAATGGTCAGTGCAATATATGTAGATTGAAGAGATAAGAAATGATTGACTTCGTAGATGTCCGTTCTATATGACAACGTCTATTCCAAGATGCTAAAGTTACAATGCACGGAGGTACTACTACAAAAATGTATTCAAGAACAGTAAAGGAGGTAGTGAACACATTCAAAACGAAATGCAAGTCTAGGCTTAAATATCGCTATAGAACAAAATTGATTTCCCATACGGTGAATTATTTCTATATATTTAATACTCTGAAAGATCATTTGTCCAGTTTCCATGTCATAATCTTTTCATTCTAACGTATTTATTGGCTTAAATTATCACAAATTTATATATTGGTAGCATACTGAAAAAATTGTGCCATTTTCTATTTTGATTAAAACACCAAATCTTAAAAACCAGAAATCGGAGAAATATGAAATAACACAAAATAAAAACTTCAGATAGAACCAGTTTTAATATGATGTACAACTATATTACTGTAGAACAACCAATGCACTGGCGTGACGTCACAGCCATGTCACAATAGGTTATGGAAGTCTGTTGGGCCTTATAGAATTTACGAACTACTATCCTTTCAATTAACATCTGTATGCATAAAGCTTGTACTTTTAACTGGTACATAGTTACCTTTGCTCAAAAACTCTAAATAGCCCATTTCATTATGTGCGACATTTGGGCTATGAATGCTTGCTCCACACTCACCCAGTCGTACATCGATAAAGTTCACTCATCGCCCCATAGTCAGATCAATATGTACAAATCGTTATATTGGTATAGCCCTACCCTCTTCCCGGTTACCGTGGGGTCATGTTATACAATTCTTGACCTTTTTAGGTTAACATTGCTATTTGTTGACCCGAGCAAGGTGGTATTCCCAGAGGCCGAAGGGTCATACAACTTCATAACTATATGTTGTTTTATGACCTAGGTATGTTAATCCCATACTTTGGCAGAGTTCAGGTTGCTGGGTCGCTTCAACTATAACTTCAAATTGTGCTCGAGCTATTAGTATGGACCCTTTCACAAGTATAGACGGCCTGAAAAGAAATTTCTACTTGTTCATATTTGAATAAATGTGTACAATGAGCAATATCATACGTCCATCAACTTCCTTAAGTGATTAAATGTCAAACACAAGACGAAATGTACAATATGGTGTGTGAAAAGCGTCAACCCGTCACGTTGTTTACCGGTTTACAAATATTTACACCTCGATAATTATTCGCAGATAGCGCTAAGATTATTGTATTTGACTATACACGATATTCCGTCTAAGGTAGTGTACTGTTCCTCTTACCGCAGTGACGGGATTAAGTGGGTATTTCCTGTGTCAACAGGTAAATAGTTTAACGTATACGGACGTCATTAAGTTCATGTCATCATACGATAAGGGTACCTAGGAACAGGTAAATTGCAACAAATATACCAATGCATCCTTACACTACCAGCATTTTAGCAATGATCTGATTAAAATAGCCAAAGCAGAGGATTTTACCTATTTCAAACAACAACATAAAATAAGGACCGCTTTTAATGAGCTCATCGACATTTAGAATTACACTGTATAGTACATACCCAATGTCCCTTTTAACATTAATATCGAAGTGAAATACTCCTTTTACATGCAGGTTGTGAAATATATACTGTCCCAATATAAGTGCTACATGCATTTCAAGACACAAAAAAAACTTTTAGTGAGAATCATTAACTCTTGTGAGCTATTTCTGCTACAAGAAATCTACGAAAGAAGACCTAAATGTAAACAAAAGCAGGTTCAATCTTAACAAACATACATGAATGCATGTAAAATATTATAATGGCACATGCAACGGAGTAATCACAGATAACGTATTTAGATGAAAGATCTAAATCTTCTCACAGTAAAAACGTATATTCAAGGTTTCTAAGTGATAGGGAATCTCCTTCCTTCAAATGCACCTGCGACATAACCCTTTTGTTTTATTAAATAGGAATAGCGTTCACCTGAAATTAAGATTTGGGCAAAAAGATGCAACAGAAAGTGCAATCACAGATGTATATTAACGTCAAGAATAAGTAACTCAAATAAAACGAATTATAAAAGTGAAAGTTAAATATCACACAAGTGTTTCTAAATCGAGTAAGAATCGAAAGAATATGTAGTGCAAATTATAACGGTGATACTAAAATCAATAGCAGATATGGCTTCAATGTCTATCTGATATTTCCTTAGACATGTCCCAAATATTTGGCCAGTTTCACCAGTACATGTATATGTTCAGTATTGTCGCAGCTGTTACATTGAATTCGGTCAACCACTCTTGGCTTGTCTTCGAATGCATGTGCTGATGTGATGCTTGCTGACACACATTTTATGTACGGTACAGTGACCATGCCGTTAGTTTTCTCCTTGTGAACTTTCTGTTTCTTAATAATATTCCGAGGTCTGTTGGACATTTTCGGACAGCAAATGAGATTTATCTCCCTTAGCACGTTTTTTTTAACAATTCTACACTTGCACTTACGTCATGCACAGCCGTGTTACTAGCCTATATAATAAGCTAGACTTTTGTGTGCAATATGAAAACAACTTTTACCTACACCTACGCCCTAACAACATAAACCGTGCTATAAACGATAAAAAAAAAATTGTAATTATAAATTCATTATTCCATCTTTCGTATATATTAACTCGAACTAAAAGGTATGATTTGGAACAATCATTATCTATCATCAATATGATTAAAAGTTTGCGTGATTTGATTCTCAAATAGGAAAATGCCTGAATTTACAAAAATACAAAAGAATACATAGTGTTGGGCGTATTTGAACGATAGACTACTAAATGCAGCACCTGTGCCTCGGCCCTTATCAACAATTTACCCGTCGACCTAGAGTTAAGACGCTGTAAACAAGCCCGTCCTAAATAAAGTAGACGACATACGCAGGACAGTTTTAGGGAGTGACCAGGATATCTTTCTTTTAGTACAAATATCCGAGTCACCGAGACAACAGACATACCCTTTGCGCCAGATTGTCTGTTTGTCAACAGGTAAACACTATTACAACTGAGTAAGACCAGTGACAATGTAGACAATATCGTGTCAGTTTTATCTGGGATTTCCTCTCCAATAGTGTGAATTACAGGAATTCCGTATATATATATATATATATATATATATATACTGGTGAATCAATACAGGTATGTATATATATATTACTTTTATTTCGTGATAATTGTATGTCAACCATAAGTTGCGAGGAAACTACCGAATAAATGGCAACACAATTTAAAGGTTTTTATATTGTTTAAAATGGTATATTAATCTGATCTCTGTTACTGCTTATAGATTTTTGATGCTTGTGATTTTATCTGCATTCAAGTCGAATTTGAAAACGGGGAAACTTTACCCATGTCGACAAATTGATGTCCGTGTTGTTATATTGTCCAACAAGATACATATGTGTTTTTCCTATTTTAAATATAACAATAAATGATAGGGATTAATTCTTGGATACACGTTAAAATTGTTTGTTTTACGCACTGTCGTGATAAAATGCCCTCATACAAGACGTGAGCATAAACCTCAATTCGTTATATTTCATAAAGGTACAACAAATATCTTGTGTTTCGTCTTCCTGCCAATTCTTTGTCATCGGCTGCAATATCAAAAGCAATCATTTTATCATTTCTTCAAATACTTTTTTAAAGAACATTGCTTCATTTTATAAGCACGTTAATACTAACATTTTATTCACAACATTCATTGCATTTCCTCAAAAAATGAATATATATAATATATATTTTACATACAGAACAGGCCAACAAAAACGGGTCAAAATAGATTATTGTATACCGAGAAATGTTCGCTGCAGTTCAATTTTCGCCTTTTTCGTCCGGCGAAATGAGGGCGAATTTATCATTACAGCGAACATAAATTAACAACATAATATGCCTATTAATTTAAAGTGAAGGTGAGATTAACATTGAGCTTCTATGGATTATTTTGACGAAGGACGAAAGTTTGACTAGGCGAAAATTTCCCGATATACAGTATATCAAAAAGACGAAAAAGACTTAATATACATGTATGTCAATGCATTCAATATAACAATAGTTAGCCTCATTGAGTCCCTGGTTGCTATTGTCTCACAGTAATAATTGTTTGTGTTTTTGAATTACAGATACCAAGGACGACATATCAAGGGAACGGATCTCTGAGTATTACTTTTTGCAAAAGATTGACTAAAAGCATCATAGCTACCGTAATGCACACACGAACAACGGTGTGCTGGACATTAGTACTTATTTGTGTAGAATTGATGTTTGCTGAGCCTGCCGACCGGACTGCCATGTCCTACTGTAGCTTTGAACAGAAGACCGCCGGAAAGTATCCCAACTACTATCGTGACGTCCCCATCATACCTATGGTGATTGTGTTAGATAAAACAAACAATAGCGAATGCGTTATCAATTCTACCGAAATAATCCAGGCTTATAATTTCCCTGAAAATCAAACAGTGGTCGGGTATTTTTTATTCAAGTGTCAGACCCGGTTAAAGATACTCTTTATAGACACGGAATCACAACAGAACGCCTTCCCGAACGTAATAGGGTATCTGCAAGTCCGCGACTGTATTATTGACAACAGCATGGATCTTTTCGCGAGCATTGTTGACATGCGAGTGTATATCTTTCGTGAGAGAACTGGATTCGCCATTGATGGACCCCCATCGTCATACTATAGTATCAATGACAAAACAGTAAGTCTGGGAATTAATGACATAGACGTATCGAATGGAATGGAGGCACGTAGCATTTTCAAACATAAATCAGCGTATCCTCATCTTAAAGAGGTGTCCCTGTCAGGGTTAGAGTTACAGGAATTCCCAAATAATTTGAAAAACAAATTTCCAAATCTGGAATCGTTAGAAATGCCAAACAATTCCCTAACAAATCCGCCATTGGAGTTCCCGTGGAACGACAACACATCCGAACTCCCGCTAAATCTCTCAAGATCCCAGTACCTTCAACATCAGTATGCAATATCCCGTCACCTTGACATTCCAGCAAACAAATATGCAAGGCTGTTTAATTTGAATGAAAATAAGATTATAAATTTAACCGACTTCAGGTTTCATGGAAGGCTACATATGATAACTATGGATAGTAATGGTCTCCGCGATATAGGTGGAGACTGTTTTGTGTTTGTGTCAGATTTACAATATATCGGAATGGCAAATAACCAGTTGACCTCACTTCCGGCGCTTCTATTCAAGGGTTTATATTCTCTTCGACTATTAGATTTACATAACAATACTATCAGTGATTTGCAATTTGGTCTTTTCCGCGATTTGAAAAACCTGATACACTTGAATCTGGCTTCAAACCAACTCCGCAGCCTGCAGGTTGGTCTTTTTGAGAACTTGACAAGTCTTCGTGAGCTCATACTGGACGAAAACAGACTGACGTCATGTGATGGATCTTTCCAGCCACACAAGTCAATCTTTCTCCAACACCTTAGTCTGAACAACAATCCTCTTCGTGATATACCTATTGATGTATTCTACTCTCGAAGTATAAAACGCGTCGATTTGCGCAACACCACCATTACGCTAAGCAGTTTCCCCGCGCTACTCCTCAAGTTAAATCCAAGTCTATTTGCTGCCAGTATTGTTGAATCTTCAAGTGACTCACAGTTCAATATTCTTAAACGACCGAAAGAAATGAAAGAAATCGACTTAACAGGGAGTAACGTCCGGGAGCTGAACCCTGGCGTTAACTTGGATCATCAGACTGCACAAAAACTTCTTGTCATCCTCATCCATTACCATTTAAATCTTGACAAGAACCCTCTCAGTTGTGATTGCGGTATCATACCACTGATTAACTTTGTACACAAATACATTCAAAACGGAACATTACGTCGGAGTGACTATTATTTCCGTGAGTGGATGTGTGTCTACCCGCAAGAATTTGGCGGAAGGCGGCTACTTGAGGTAAAGGAGGAAGAAACGTATTGTAGGGTGAATGTTTCGTTGTGTCCAGATACCTGCCTCTGTTACGAGCGGGTAACGTCCCTAATCATCATAGTTGACTGTCGCGAAACAAATATGATGGCTCTGCCTCTGCGTCTACCACAAGGCGTATTGGATCTCTGGTTTCAAAGGAATAACATAACGCGGATTGAAACCAGAAATTACCTCCACCGTGTCCGTACGATGACTCTCAATTCAAATCAGATAAGTCGTGTCGCCGGAAAGGCGGTGTTACAATTGAATATCATTGAAAACCTCCACCTGTCCTCCAATAACCTTATCGGTCTGCCAGAGCAGATCCAACACCTCCAGTTGTCGAAACTGACCGTCAGTGACAACCCGTTCTCGTGTGATTGCCACTCCCTGTGGATGAGGTCGTGGATCGAACGTAACAAGGACGTGGTGATAGACTCCTCAACACTGACCTGCAACACACAGATAGGAACGGCGAGGCCTTTACTTAAGGTTCCCACTTCTGAGTTTGTGTGTAAACAGGACTTCGACACAAGGAAACACGTGATCATTCCAGCCACTGTATCATCTCTCTCTGTAAGCCTCGTCCTCGTCGTCATTGCACTTGTCTGTATTTATAGATTTGAAGTGAAAGTATTTCTCTACATTTATCTTGGTTTTCGTCCATTCGACAGTGCGAAAACGCTACAGAAGAAAGCGTTCGACCTTGTCATCATTCTCTCCTCGAATACACAAGAATGGGTGAATAAAAACGTGTTACCTTTACAGGAAACCAATGGAAGCAACTTGCATTTCGTAGACATTTGTAAAGACTTAATGGCAGGCTTTTCTGTTCAAGAAAACATCACTTGTCTTATAGAACAGGCGCGACAAGTCATGTTTGTTCTCTCTGGAGACTTTATAGACGACGACAGGTTACAAATGGCTTGGACAGGGACAAGGAACAGGATAGTCGAGAGCGGGGTGGGTTTCATACAGTTTGTAACAGACGGCGTCTCCATCTCGGATATAACAGACTCTGATATGTTAATGGTGATGAAGAAAACTCATGGGCTCACTACCCAGGAGCGATTTATCAAGAAAAAATTACTTTATATTATGGAATTTGACAAATCTTCAACGAACAAGTGTACACAACCTGAGTTACGTAGTATAATCGAGAAAAGAAATGTTTCTAAGTGCCAGACACAAAATAAGGAAATCTGTGATATTTTTCTTACTTATTCAGACGAAAGTCGAACATTTGCTTTGCGTGAATTATACCCTCACCTGGAGGCGGAAGGATACAGCATTTCCATGCCAGATAAAGACTTTACCCCAGGTGTGGCTAAGGATGATAATATTATGAACTACCTGTATGCGTCTTACCACACACTCTTCGTTATGTCGACGACCAAATTTGATGACGAATGGGCACTGTTTACGTTTCGTGAGGCTTTACAGCGTTCACGGCGAGACAAATACAACCATCTCGTCATTGTTCTTACCGATGGTATACAAAACGATACTATAGAGGACGAGGAGCTCCGACACTACCTTAAGTCCCACGTTACTTTAAGTGTAGGTGATGAGGACTTCGAACGGAACCTTCGACGTTGTTTACGACCCCCTCTTTGTATCCTTGATAAAGACATCACTGTTAAATTCACTGATGACATCGTTTTAGATTTATGAAATCAGAGTTTAGAAGCTCATTTCTGTATCATCGCCGTTTAAATGTCCTTCTGTGAGTGTCACATGTTACCACTATATGATACCACTTGTCCTGCGTATAGAGCATAATTTCAAGTTCTACAACTTTTGTGAGGTAGAGAATTTTGGGAATAGATGTGGTAAACCCATGTTTAATTGAACAGGATACAAATAGTACGTCTACGTTTAGTTGACTCTGACATTGATATATGTGTGAATGCATGATTATGGTGTGTTGACTACAGTGCGTGTTTAAAAGTATAAGTTTACGTATGTCATTATGCGTGCGTGCGTAATAACTATGTGTCATAAACGTCACTTTGTAGTTTTGTAATCTTCAATCACCTTCAAGTTAAATGTATATTTTCAATTTTACCGGATGATAAAATTGTTTTTAATTCTTTTCAATTTTTATATATGTATGTTCAACATCAAGTACGTCACGCGTTAAATAAGGCAACAGTTCAAGTGATGTCGGGTGGCACAGGGGATAGTGCAAAGCGACGGGGTTTCGATTACCCGAAAGGACTTGAAAGGTTTGGGGTCACCTGCCCGATCATGTGGACTTTCGCCGGGTACTCCAGTTTCCTTCCGCACTAAGACCCTGCGCGCCAACAAGAGTGATCAATATAAGTTTAAATCACTTGTTTCATAATTGTTGTGAAATAAACAAAGTTTATAAAAGTGAGATGTTTCGTTTTCCTTACAATTTCTTGTTGGTTTTTTTTAACGAATTAAACCGGCGAAAATGTGTATATTCAGTTTTTTACTTCATTTTACAAATGTACCGTGCACCGTATTTTGGTCAAGCTAGCTTATCCTCGACAATCTCCCCTGTGTTGTGCACTGAACAGTCGGTATACGCCTCCACAGTACTTGACTTGTCTTTCCGTATTTAACTTTTGGTTCGTCCTTTTATGCTGGACGCTGTAGCGTATTTTTCTATTTGAATTTCCAAGGTCATTACGCCGGCAGTTTCATTCACTCATTTTCATAAATGTATATAACAGTATATATGTACTGAACAACGGCATTTATTTAACTTGTCTACACGAATTTGAAAACATTCTACATAGATGTCTGACCCTGTCTTCTCGTAATGTCGATATTAAGAAACCTTTGTAGAGGTTGGTGTATTCCTCAATGAATTTTTTCACTTCCTCTTAAAAGCACTTACCACAGATTTGGAAAAGTTGGTTCTTTCTCTCAATTATAAAAGAGTTATCTCCCTTTATGCGTAAAACATACATACATACATGCCTAGATCTATACTAGTATATATGCGTGTAAAGATGAAATCGTTTATATAGATCTTGATCCTCTAAGGCCAAGAACAGACCATTGGGAATACCAAAGATGTTAAACATTCCACTAAACATCATTGGTATTCCCAATTATTGTTGAGAAAAAATATTAACACTTTTAGATTGATGTTCAATGTTCATTGGTTTTAATTCGTGTAAAAGTATCGCATGGCCAACAGTATCAAAAGCTTCCAAAAAATAAATATAAAGTTTCAATCAAATATTATCCATCCAATAGATTAGTCAGACAAGCATATACATGTATCTCTGAGGAAAGAAACTGACCTTAACACTATTTTACTCATTTAAATATCTTTATTCCAAGTCTGTCATTACAGAACTTTGAAAAGTTCTTTTTACACAACCAATAAGAGTTTGTGACGTTTCGATGACTAGTACGGTATGTACGCTGTCATCTTCATGATCTAGATACGCTGCAGTGGACCAATTATATATCATAATAAATTGAGTTGAGGGGGTTCATAGACTCGCGCACATCTATGACTAAGTATTAAACAAATCGTAGTTGAATCGAGTCATTTCGGTACATATTAAACAACTATTGTACATACACTTACAGCGTAGCCGAATCGACATCGATTTTGTGGACAACTCGTACACATTTTACATACTTGTGTGCATACGCTTCACTGGTCATTTAAATTGTCTGATGAAGGTGACAGTGTACATACCGTATTAGTCATAAAAAAAGTCACATAGAAACACTTATTAGTTGTGTAAAAACAACTTTTCATAATCTTAACAACCTGAAGAAAATGTTTAGAAATGTCATTACGGAATGTTTTCTATTTTCTAGCTCTAAAATATGCAGTGTAAGTTCTGATTATTAAGCATAATCAAACGTATACAAGACAGAGAATTTAGGTTTTGTGAAAATGTTATGCATACGTGATAACGATTAACTGAATTATAAGGTTACTAAATGATAAATGTTTGAGATATTTATAGAATGATAAATTAATTATCATCGGTACATGTATTTGCCTTAGTCCTAAGTCTGTAATTAGAGATCCATCAGATTTTATGGCGATGGTTGTAGTATCATTTGTTAACACAACTTTGTTAAAAATCCAGTAATAGATAAAAAAAAAAAATCCTCCCTATTCGATCATTTGTTCATTTTTTGTCTAGGACATGAATTTTATTCTGTAGAGATTAATTTTATAAAATGAAAAGTCAAGCTGTTTAACCCCGTGAATTTAACAGGAACATGTTTATCTAATATTTCCAAAAGCATTCTATAGAGAGGTGTGAGCGCCAGATTCGGGTTATTTAGAGTTATGCTTTCATATCAGTTAGACCTCCCAAGAACATTCAATATGTGAAACTTTGGAACTCGTATGTCAAATTGTTTAGGAATATTGCGTAGCGGTCACTACCGTTGAAAACTTCAAGACATTTATTTCAGATATGAAACCTGAAGAATTACACTAACTAGGACCAATTCGTGTGAAAAATATTAACGATGTTCCAGTTCCAGTTGAGTTAGATTTATGATAGTGTAGGTTGTAGTTACACCTTTCCAATGTACATTAGCAGTACCCTGTATAGTATGCGTGTATCGATGTCGCACCATAACAAAGCATACACACATAAGAATAATTTGTTACATATGGTTAAGGCTAAAACCGTATTTAAGCAAGGTCTTGCGACTCCAAATCTTTACATTGCGTTCATAGAAACAGTGTGACGTAATATAAGTAAGGTTGTATGCCGTAGCCTCTCGGTTTATAGAAACAGTGTGACGTAATATAAGTAAGGTTGTATGCCGTAGCCTCTCGGTTTATAGAAACAGTGTGACGTAATATAAGTAAGGTTGTATGCCGTAGCCTCTCGGTTTATAGAAACAGTGTGACGTAATATAAGTAAGGTTGTATGCCGTAGCCTCTCGGTTTATAGAAACAGTGTGACGTAATATAAGTAAGGTTGTATGCCGTAGCCTCTCGGTTTATAGAAACAGTGTGACGTAATATAAGTAAGGTTGTATGCCGTAGCCTCTCGGTTTATAGAAACAGTGTGACGTAATATAAGTAAGGTTGTATGCCGTAGCCTCTCGGTTTATAGAAACAGTGTGACGTAATATAAGTAAGGTTGTATGCCGTAGCCTCTCGGTTTATAGAAACAGTGTGACGTAATATAAGTAAGGTAGTATGCCGTAGCCTCTCGGTTTATAGAAACAGTGTGACTAATATAAGTAAGGTTGTATGCCGTAGCCTCTCGGTTTATAGAAACAGTGTGACGTAATATAAGTAAGGTAGTATGCCGTTGCCTCCCGGTTTATAGAAACAGTGTGACTAATATAAGTAAGGTAGTATGCCATTGCCTCCCGGTTTATAGAAACAGTGTGACGCAATATAAGTAAGGTAGTTTGCCGTCGCCTCCCGGTTTATAGAAACAGTGTGACTAATATAAGTAAGGTAGTATGCCCGTCGCCTCCCGGTTTATAGTCTATATTGGGGCATTTAACATCACCAACGTAATTGCACAGGAATGTTTATATAGTCGAAGAATATACGGCTTAATTTGATTTTGAGGACATGGTATGATATTTCTTTCATTTTTATTATTAGATGTTCCAGCTTTTCAAATGTAGTTTATTCTGTCTTTTTAGAATTTTGCCCTACTTTTTTGTCGATTTTGAGCTCGAATTCTGGTTTTGTTGACACTTGGATAATTATGCTCTTGCTGTTTTTTGCATATTAATCATTAGCAGTATGTCTTGTATGTATATTGTTGTATGGATTTATCTTAGAATGTCTAATATACCAACGGAAACATGGACTAGATTGTCGGAGTACTTTGTGCAAAGCAAACCCCCCAAAAAACTCATTTGCATACTTACACCCGTGGTTGTAAAACTTCAGCAATCAAGAAACGAAACGAAACATCAGTCACATGTTGTAAAATCTGCGGTACCTCTCCTGAGTTATCCCCCTTACCACGACATACATCAATCGTATAACATGTATTTTGATAACTGTAGCTTTAGATATCTGTGCCAGTAGGTAACGCTCAATTCACTCTGTTGAAACAGAATTCGACGATTTTAGAAAGATTTGTACATCTACATCGTTCAGTCAAAATAGCAAATACAAAGCTTCCGGCACATTAACACTATAGGAGTGACTAGAAAATCGTTAAAAAATATTGCGTAACGCGTATTGTGCACACTCATGCATGGTTTAAAGATCGAAGAGGCAAAAAAGGTATTGCATTTATGTATCACAGCATTTCAATTGCTAGCGCGAAAGTTCAATCTGTCGAATGCGGTAATCCATGGCTAGCGGATGACGTTGCTTCGATTGCTTCTAGTCCCGGAGCCCTGTAAATCTCCACTAAAGTTACACTAAAAAGAGGACATTTTGATACATCAAATTCTATAATTCTGTCATGCATGGACATTTGTAGGAATCTAAAACGAGTAAAAGTACTTTGTTATAACCCGTTTTAATTGTTTAGACAATGCTTTTTGGCAATGCTGTTCTCCTGCCTGCCTGGATTATCTAACATGGTGTACTACCTTACACACACGGGAACCTGCTAAGTGTTTACCAAACAACTTCCACTTGTAACGTAGTATCAACAAGGAAGTTTGTCGTCGGGTGGCACAGTGGGTAGCGCACTTTCACCAAGACGACCGGGGTTCGATTCCCCGATCGACGTGAAAGTTATGGAGTCACCTGCCCGACCACGTGGGTTTTCTCCGGATACTCCGGTTTTCTTCGACATTAAGACCCCCCGCGTGCTAAGATCCTGGTAAACAAGAGTGATTAATGTAAATTTAAATAGCTTGTTTCATAATTGTTGAAAAATAAATAAAGTTTACATTTCCTAAGTGTTTACCAAACAACTTTCACTTGTAACGTAGTATCAACGAGTAAGTTCCACATCCTTCGTTGCTGTATGGAGCGCATGGTGGAATACCGTTACGAAATGTGACATTCAAAAACTGGACACGTTTTAGCATTTCGCCATAAAACTGATTCTCAATCTGAAAACATGTTCATGTTCAGACATGTGAAATGGTGGTCCAGGAAAACGTCACAACTAAAAACATACATGAAAACCAATTTCATAAAATGTTGTTATCACATTGTAATAATTTTCACTCCCACGTGTACAGGAGACAGATCTATGTTTTGTTGTTTGAATTTTGATAAATTTCCAAAACGAACGATATTAGTTGTCGCGCTAAATAGTTAGTATGTCTGACATAATTGTGTTAATGGAAGAACCTACCTGGGTACTCAGCTTGCATCGAAATAAGACTTTCATTTTTCTGTATCAAAAGTAATTGACATATATATGTTTTAATCGATCATCATAATCGTTATTCAGTCAAGCATTTACGTGG